TCGAAATGATTATTAGACAAGGAAATTTGGGGGAAACGAGAGTGAGAAGGGGGTGGACCGCGTGGTGGGGGTTTGGGAGATGAATTGAAGGATTGAGTGCTGACGTCGGACCGCGCTTGAATGAAGTTAGGGGGTGTTTGTTTTGCTTTTTTTTTTGGATATGATAGTTTTGGGATGTAAAAAGTGCTTTTTTGTGGTTTTAAAAATCCATAACTTTGTTTGTTTCACTTTTTTTTTTGGGATATTGAATCCCTAAATTATAAAACAATAATATTTTATTAGGATTTGTGAAATCCTCTCTCTTGTTTCCATCTTTTTTTTGGGATATAAGGTTTTAGAAATCGATAACTTTGTTTGTTTCAAAACCAATTTTGGGATATCAAATCCCAAAATATTAAAAACTATTATATTTAGGCATTTGTGAAATTCTACACTTGAGAGAGGATGTGGGTTGGATATTGATGTATTAATGCTTATAATATAAGATTAATATAAGATTAATATATTATATATAATATTATAATAATATAATATTTAATATAATACATCTATATATATATATAATTTAATATATATATAAATAATATAATATATATATATATATATATATAATATAAATTATATAAATTATATAAAATAATATATAATTTATATATTACAATATATATTATATATTATATATAAAATATATAATATATCTATAATATTATATATATATATATATTATATATTATATAATATATGTTATTAAAATTTTATATAATATTATAATATATAATTTATAGTATTCCAAATCCCAAAATATTGATGAAACAAACAAAATATTACAAGTTTTAGCATTCCAAATCCCAAAATATTGTTGAAACAAACACAACCCCCTTTATGGATTTCAAATCCTAAAAGCCACATCATTTATGGATTTCAAATCCCATTTTGAAATCCCAAAAAAAAAATCAAAACAAACACCCCCTTAAAGGATTCCGATGACAAACACGTGGCTTGTGCTGTGTTATGACAACTTAGTTAAAAACGTCTGGGGTCCACGTAGTCACTCACGTTGGATGATAGATCTGGTTGACCGTTGACTGATAACGTTTAAAGCGTATGTTTGGAAGATGACCGAGTGGCTTATAAATCACTTTTACAGCTGAGAAGACACTTTGTGACTTAGTTTGACTTAGAAATTTATCCATTAAAAAATAAAGTAGGATATTCTATTTATTTATTTTTTTGGATTATAAGCCATGAATTTGATCAAGTTAAAGATACTTATACCATCTTAGTTTCACAAAATCCAAAGCCTCATTTATTAACTTATTATCAACCCTTTGTCTTTTTTTGGTTACTAGTATAGTCCATGTGAGTCGCACGTATATGTAATTGTCTTATTTTCTAAAGTTTTAAACTGTTTTAAATTAAGCGATACCATAAAATTAGTAAATATGGTTAGAATATAGTGAAATATTAGTTAAGCAAATGTTGTGGACTTTTGTAGGGCTATTTTTCAATATTAGTCCATGTAATCTTCCATATTTCAGAATTAGCCCCTCAAATCATGATACTTGCTACAATGTCTCTTAATTCTTAAGTTACTTTAAAATTGGTCCCTCAAATCATTGAAATTATTATTAAATTCTCTAATTTTATGTAAATTTAAAATTAGCTCCTCCAATCAAGAGTAGAAGTCCCAATAAGAGGAAAATTAATCCCTTAAGTCATCAAAATTTCTGTTAGGTTTCATAATTCCCATAAGTATATTTGCTTCAAATTAATCCCTTTAATTGCTATTCTCTTATTAATATGAGGGACTATTTTCAAAATAATCTGAGAATTGCGTACCTAATAGCTATTCCAATGTTGAGGAATAACTTAAGAATTAAGGGACATAGTAGCAATTCCAAAATATGAAATATTTAAGGGGTTAATACAAAATAACCCTATAAAATTGTAGAAAAGATGACTGATGTTTACTTGTTTACAGTCCCGATTAATCTACTTTTATAAATAGACAAACCATAATCCTAGTTATTCTATTTATAAAATTTATGTATAATTTGTTTTAACTAATATAAGAATAAAATTTTAAAATATTTTTGGCAATCGAAAATCTCTAGCAACTATTTCTTTTAAAGAATGCACCCAATATCTTCCTCTTCCTATCTTCCCCACTTTTTTAGTACTTGGGGCAAGATGTCAGCGAGTAAATTGAAAAAAATATATATAGAATATAGGAACCTTTTGTAGGATGAACCTTACAAATAAAAACTTACATCATCCTACTTTAATCCTCCATAAAATTCAAAAGATCATAGTTAATTGCTACATGAAATTTCTTTATAATTAAACAAAAAACATTATGACTTTTAACATCGATGACCTTAGCTAATGAATATGGTGTTGTAGAGTTGACTATTTCCCCTATTCTCTTTTGTTATTTTAAATAAGAGAGAGAAAGGGTCATCTGCATGTAATTAAGAAAAAATTAAGTTGTTCTTAGCACTTGCAGAACATACGTTCTCAAGTCAAACATGAAAATAAAATATCATCAACTTTATTCCATAACCTTCAATCACTGATGACCACTCAAAAGTTAAAACAAAAAAAAAACTCAAAAGTAAAAAATTGTACCAAAATTCTCATTCAACCGGCTATTATGTACCAAAGTACATAAGTTATATTCTAACTCAAAATTTCCAAGAACAATTAAGGATTCCCTTGAATCATCTTTGAACTAATTCCCACAACAGGCTTCCCGATTGGTGACTGAGAAGAGTGGAAGCGATCAATGAATGACAATAATACATTCTTGAAATTAAAATTAATAAGAGTGAGAAATAGTAAGAAGGGGAACCTTATATAGTCATCACATTTATTTACATACTTTCATCATGCAACATTTTTGAAGCCATCACCTTGACATGTTTTATGTAAGCATGTATGTGTTTTATGAATATGTTTTAGAGAACATTTTGGGAAGAAATGTTTTAACATACCAATCCAATCCCAAATGATTGGATATGTATGTGTTTTAGAGGGCATTTTGGAAAGAAATGTTTTAACATACAATCCTAAATGACTGCTACGACTTCAACAACAAAAACAAATATCATAATTAACAATGTTTGCATGCCAAAAATCAAACACACACACACATATGGAAAATGGAAATTCCACTCATTTATATAACATATAAAGTTTATATGTAATTACCCAAATGTAAAAAAATTGAGGTGACTTTTTGATGGATTTATTGAGTTATTGCCGGGAGCTTTGAGAGGTTGATAATATATAGGAGGATGGTTGTATAGCAGTTATATGTGATGGGATTTGAAAGGGTGGGTTTAATTTGTTGTTAATATTGGTATTAAGGAGGGTTAATGGGGAGTTATGAAACCGACGAATAATTATGAGAAGCATCTGAAGGGGTGCATTAATGTATAGATGTACATGTATACATTTTATGTATGCATGTAAAATTTTCGCAAAAAAAAAAAATCATGTATGCATATGTTTTATGTATGCATGAATGTGTTTTAGAGGGCATTTTGGGAAGAAATGTTTTAACATACTAATCCACTTTTATAATAGTATAAGATTTTAACAATAAGATTGATTATAATCCGCTAATTAGTCATACATTTCATTCTTAAAAATGGAGTATGATCTGCTAAATTTATCAAACACTCAATATTGCCCTCCACTTAGATCATAATGTCCATATGGATAATAATCCAAAGTTCTCAAACATGCTCGTTGTTTTGCCACTACACTAGAGTAATTTTCATCATTTGCATGCTCAATTAGTGACATATGGGGGTTTCATATAATATGGATCTTCCATTTCTAAAAAATTGAGGAGGTAAAAAAATTCCAAGCGATCAAGTTTAGGCAACACAGAGAGAAAGGACATGCAAAATTATGCTGTGTTTTTTAGGGAATAATTCAAAAATTACCGTTTACTAAGAATTTACGGAAAGTAAATACATCACAAACCTTTTAATTATAGAAAAATACCATATACCTTTTCAAATCAACAGAAAATTACTAAATGCTATTAGAAAACTATACCATAGTTATGATAATAGATGAAAGTCCACAGCAGTTATCTAACAATAATGTAGAATTCATTATTAGTAACTTCATTTGAAAATTCATGATAGTTTTATGAAACATAAATAAAAAATTTATAATATCTAAATATCTGATTCACGAGCAAGTCCTTTATAGTAGTATGCCCCTTTTCTTCTAATTTTAAAAAAAGGGTATTTTCTAAAAAAAATATATTTTAGGCTATTATTAAACAAAACTTAATATCTGAACACTGTAACAGTTTTGTTTACTTCAAAGAAAAATGATAAACGATTCCATACTTCATTAGTTCTTAAAACATCACGCATCAATCCCATAGAAGCTAACAGATCAAAGAAATGGTAAAACGACTCCATAGTTCGTTAGTTCTTTAACTCCTTTTAAACTTAGTAGGCGTTACTTCAAAATTAATATGTATGCGTTTCTGTCTGTCTCTGACAAAGCTTTATTAACTCGCCATGCACAAATAAATAGCTGAGATACAATAGATAGCTCTCAACCCACACCGAAGTCATGTTTTCATTGATATTACAAAACTTTACTGCACGCTTAAGACCGATTTATTTCTATACAAATCAGTAGGATTACATTTTCGGTAATATAGTGGAATCAGCTACAACGCCAGATTCAGCCTGCAACAAACGAATTTTTAGCGCAAGTTATAAGGATGGTGAGAGTAGTTTTTACATGTATATGAAATCGTATTCGAGAACATTATACCTCAAGATATCTGGTTAACAGCGTGGTAGTGCTGAAATTAAAACCTTGAACAGGCTCTTTCTTAGTGCGAGATAAGTTCAGTTGCTTTCTAACTTGGGAGGCTAATGACTGCAAGACCCAGAAAGAATATCTCAAGAAAATGACAAGCAGACAACAGAAGCAAAACAATGGACGAATTCTCTTAAAAACAAACCTTGCCCAACTCGACACCCCACTGATCGAAAGAATTGATCCCCCATATGAAACCCTCAACAGCAATTCTGTGCTCATAAATTGCTAACAGCTGGATATGAATTGAGGTAACAATCAGTGACATGCAAACCGGTAAAAAAATGATATTGGTTCTCCAGACAAAAACTTAAAAAGGGCTAAATGAATTTGTAGTGGTGCTTCATGGTAAATGGGAGGGAATGAAGAAGGGAAAACGTTTAATCCTCTGAGGGAAGTTCAGCAACTTTCCAGTTTCCAGCCACTGGCTGATCTTTCTTTAAAATATGGCGACCAAATCGATTGAGCCATTTGTGTGGTTTTTCCCTACTCAACTCCTTTATCCATCATAAACTGAGAATAACCAGAACTTGTTCCTCTCCTTCAGTTAAATGTTTCAGAGGCTAACCCAAATGAACAAAAAACTGACTACCTTATAACATGTGGCTGATTACAAAGTAGTTCTGGACACAACTTTTAGTCCAAAAATCAACCATCACATAGCACATTGATCTAGGCCATCTTTTTTTAGGTTTCACTCACATTTAACAATGCAGAAGTAAAGCATGAAAATTTGACGTTTCTTTTATTTAGGCCTTTGCTTTTTTTAATTCCACAAGATTCGCGCCCGATAGAACTGACTGACACAATTGACTCTTTATATGTTACATTCTGCCATAACCCACTGGTCTTTGTTTTTCGCCTTAATCAAATTGGTACCTGCTAACACACTAACGCACTACGGCAAGCAAAAAACAAAATGGAGAATTATTACCAGTAAATAATTACAAGGAGATGTCTACTGTAGACAGTTGGAATATTTCACAGTAAAAGTGCATAACAGGATGATGCAACTACTAAACAGCAAAAAAGAAAAATTGTATAGCCAGTAACTAACTACAAGGAGATGCCAAATTTAAAGAATAGGAATATCTCATAGGGAAAGTGCACAACAGCATGCATCTGCTAAATATCAAAAAACAAAATGGAGGAAAAATGAATAGACAGTAAGTAATTATTAAACAAAATGGAGGAAAAATGAATAGACAGTAAGTAATTATTAAACAAAATGGAGGAAAAATGAATAGACAGTAAGTAATTATTAAACAAAATGGAGGAAAAATGAATAGACAGTAAGTAATTATTAGGAGAGCCGAAGTTAAAAGAGTAGGAATATTTCATAGGGAAAGTGCACAACAGGATGCAGCTGCTAAATATTATAAGAAGCTGCCAAATTTAAGGAGTAAATAATATAGCACAAACCTGTCCAATGTTATAAGCACTTAAAGCAGGCAGTAGAAGGCTCAAGGATGGCCGATTACCAGAAAAGGTCTGCATAATTTAAGAATCGTTACCATAGAAATATAACAAGACTTTCAGCAGTGTATTAAGAAGAGAAACCCATCATATCACCTTGTGAGGAATAAGGTGGTTCGGAACTTTCTCACTTAGCAATTGTTCAGGAGTCTGGATAACAGCAAGCTCAAGTATGAGATAAGATTGAATAAGAAAAATAAAGCATAATTCACGAGACCTACCTTCCCATAAGCAAGAGCATCTGGCTGTGCAAAGAAGTTTGACATGAGTTCATCATGGTTGCTCACAACTTCCCCTGCAAAAAAGAAAGGTGAAGGACATCATATGTAGATCTACCTCAAAGCAAAGAGGCAAGTCAGAGCCCTGACAAGTAACAAACATATAAGCCTTACAATAGGCATTGGACATTTGAGATACCTTTCAAGTACACGGGTTGCTGAGTTTTCATGACACCAATAAAATCACAAGGAATAATCCTTCCCTGAATATTGCAAAGATACCATTTAAGGCTTCATACTTAAAGATGCATACAAGCATGCATTCATATGAGCATGCATTTACATTATAGGTCTATAAATCAAAACATATTTTTATGAACTAACACATATCCAAGGTGTGCTTTAAGTTTGTACGTAATATATCTAGATGATATATGTGTTTGTATACTTCTGATACATACCAGAATGGGCAGTTTATTGCAGGTTAATGAGAAAATGTTCCACTGTGAAACCTTCATATCACGAACGTACATATAACGATGCTATTTTTCTTCCATTTCTATTGATTCTCGTGTATGTGCATGTTTGTATACTTGAATGTGTAGTTTTTCCCGTTGCTTTCTTATTCTCCCTTCCTTTTTACTTTTCTTTGACGTTTATGTGTGGCTGGATTAAGGCTTTTACACATGCATACATGTGGGGTCTGTTTGGGAATACTAAATATTACAGCATGTGTTCGTGTGCATGACTGTACCCGAGGGAGGCAGGGAAAAATATAAAATAATTCTGTAAGATAGGGACTCCATAAATAACTTGCTCCCAAATTTTCTCAATATAAGTGTGGATGTATATCTGATGCGTTCCACTGCAACATGAGAGCAAGCCCACTAAAATAGTTTGCCCTCTTCTAGCATTGACAAATGAACAGGTAGTTAAGTAGTTGATCACTTTTCTCTTATGATAAACCACTTGCTATTCATCCTCTAGTACAATAGAACGTTCATCTCTGCTCGTTTACTCATACAATATCTGTGAGATGTGAATTCACAAATTACTGAATGGCGTTGTATCTCAAATTTATGTGACCTATAATAAGTTGTATTCACTTTGATATTTTATCTATTATCTCCATCATTATAAGATAATTGAAAGATCTCACAAAAACATTTTTTATAAGATTGATAGGTAATCAATAATGATATTCAAAATGGCTGCTTTCACAGGTACTTATCAGATGTTTAAAGTTGTCATTCAGAGCTCAATAGTGGCAAAATTCCAGTATGCAATTTCTTTATCTGGCAACATGCTACTCTAAATATTTGGCCAGCCCGAAGGATATAATGGAAAATACCACGATCAAGAACAATCCTCAAAACTAAAGGGACAATATTTTCAACACGGGAACATTGTCCCTTCACAGATCTAATCCTTATCATCAACGAGGCAATCTTATAAAAAGTCCTGGGTGCACATTTGCACATGTTAGCTATCTTCTATACAGAGAATTAACCACCACGGCAGCAAGAGGATCACACCAGGTAAAATAGAATTGTATGGAAGAAATACTTCACACATGAAACACCACTGAAAACTTAAAAATGCCTTGAAGTATTATCCTACCAGAAATTTCTTTTTCTTGCACGTATTTTAATCAATTGTACTCTTTCCAAGATTCCAGTGCTTTCATACTACAAGAAAGCAACTGGAAGGAGGCCACAGTCTATAACTCTGGAGCCTATCAGGTAGACTGACAAAACAATTAATGACTACATACATTACATAGCACAAATGTGAGGTAATAATTTTGGATATGTAGTACAAACATGTGTAAAAGCCATGTCTCCCAATATTGTAGAAAGTATATAAAGCTGAATTATGTAAATAGTTTAACCGGCACACAAAATGACAAAAATACGCTTTTCTGCGCAAGCAATTCAACAGGTATTATCAAACAAAAATTAAAAATCTGGGTATGAACTGCAAGGAAAAAGCACTTGGCAAAATGCATGACAAATAATTTCAACAAAACAATAGAAGCGTGCAGGAGTTGAGAGATTACAACTAAACATGACATGGTAATGCCTGATAATAATTCAAAGATTTGAAATAGAAAGATATGAAACTGCACGGGATTATATAAAAGAAAACCCGCTGTCACATGCTCAAACTAATTCATATCAGTGTAAGACAAACACGATATTTTGAGAGACTGCACTTACTTGATGAATTAGCTGGTAGAAACTATGCTGGCCATTTGTTCCCGGTTCTCCAAAATCTATTTCACCAGCCTCAAAAGGAAGTGGAACGCCATCAATGGATACACCCTTTCCATTACTCTCCATGCTAACCTTCAGTGCAAGATTATCTCAATGCAAGTGGGGAAAGAACAGAAGAAATAACCCATAATATTTACACGCAGAAAAATAAATCAGAGGCCCCACCACACGCGCACAAACAAAACAAACAAATAAATAAATAGCACACACCAGCTGGGAGAAAAAATAAATACCTGTTGGATGTGCGGAGCAAACTTCTCAAGAGCCTGGGAGTACGGTAGTATGGCCTACATATACATGGGGGGTATATTTAATAAAAGAAAAATACAGAACTTCTGAAACACAAAGATGACAGAGCAAACAGTGTAAAACAAATATATGCAGAATAACTGCATACTCTTGCAGGATATCCAAAAAAGGAAACATTCCACACGCTCAACAGGCCAAGAAGTACCTGAAAAAATAAGGAAGTCAAGTATCCACAGCATGATTCACTGAGATGTCCAACAAAGTAAATATCATGATACTTACAGGAATGTTTTTCTCAAATGGAGTCGACTTAAAATGATTGTCAATGCTGGCAGCTCCATTTAGAAATCTTTAACAGAAAAGGAAAACACTTCACTTAAAGAATAGAAAGCGAAAACATCTCCATAAAAGAATAAAAACACAAGGCACCATCATGTCATAAATCAACTAAACCATTATCGTTTCTCATGAATTATATGGTTAAACACTTAATCTGAATATGAGAGACAGATTACCAAATATACTGCTATGTCAAATTAAATTTGCAGGGCAAGTTATGCAGCAAAAAGCATAGCAAATCCCTAAACAGCAGCGAACAAATAAATTTATACATGGGAAGATCATATAAAATTAAAACTTTTCATTGATCAATGTAAAAGTTGGTTGCCATCAACTCTATTGTTTGAGGATTCTTTCTTTTCTTTTCTTTTTTTTTAATTTTTTTACACCTATTCACCAGAAAGGGCCAAATAGTCTGAGAGCTTTCTAACCAAGCTTTTGCAAGTGAAAATTAAAAACCTATAAATAGTACTCAGCCTAAGTGCCTAACTCATCTGGAACCAACCCTATACATTTGTGTTCCACAAACCCGTGATGGGTAAGGAACCTATTTGTTCTTGATTAACTCGGTGAATGTTAGTTATACCCAATCTATCCTATGCATATTTTGGCTCCTAGACCATCTGAGATGACAATTAAATAGCTATGTTACCCGGGTACTTCGATTAATCCGTACCCATACCAGATACGTATCCGACACTAAACCGTACCGAAAGTTCATGGACACTCCTTGGACATATGCACACTTTCTTTCCTTCAGACATGCACTCAATTATATGATATACGTTTTAATTTAAAACACTTGTCATACACTTCTTGGACGCATATCCTACACTTCACTTCCATTTCTTAAAGACTCTTTACTTCAATTTCTTAAGACTCTTTAGACTTGGGACGGGTTCATTTCCACCCATATCCAATTTCAAAACTATGATTTTAAAGGATCTTTTGGGTGTCTAGTTAAAAAACAAGTAGTTTCCACTTTATAATAATCAACATAAAAAAAGGAAACTTACAAGTAAGATAGTAATTTTAATTCTAGTAACACATGAATTGAAAAACAATAATAATCTCATGCAAAATATTAATTTCAATATACGTGTGTAGCCGTGCCCCCGTACCCTACATTTTACAAATTTGTTGTGTCATGTACCCGTCCCCACACCCGTACCAATACCCATACCTGTTTCCATGCAAACTTAATTAAATAACTACCAATATGAGTCTCAATACCAATCACCAATTTCAAAAGGTGCTATGCATGTAGGACATGGATCATGGAAGTATTAGGATCAAACTATAGCAAGCACTTTAATGATTGCAAAGGCATTTGCATCATTGCTCTCGAACATGGTATTCAGGGGAAAATTTGCCCAAAGATAATATCAGAAAAGGTAGGGGTGACAAGTGGGCCAGATCAAGTCGCTTTTGTAGGGTCACTGTCAGATCAACCACTTTGTTGGGTTACCCCAACCTGAATAACCTATTAACCATGTCAAAAAGAATAAGCATATTATATGCATGTTATACCATCGATAAGAATAAGCATGCTACATACTTGTGAACAACTGAGAAGCCATACTGAAGAGACAAAGGTAACACACCAACAGCACTGCAAACTGCAACAGAATATTCCAGGTCACTAGCAAGTCTTAAGGTAACAGATCAATAGTCAGTAAAAGGAAAGATTATCTCACCACTGTAGCGACCACCAACCCAATCCCAAAATGCGAAAGCATTGGCAGGGTCAATACCAAACTTATCGACAAGCTGAAAGGCAGAAATGAAAAAAAGATGATATCAAATCTCAATAATAATGATCAAAAGTCGCTGGACAAGCCATTGCTTGGACTTTACTATAGACATTGCACAATCATATTTCCATATGGTAGAAACATGGTAAAAAGGCATTTTTGAATAAATCAAAAAACTCAATTCAATTTCTACACTAAATATGACAGTATATCGGCTATTGTAAAAGAACTGAGCATGAAGCCTGGTCCATGTCTTATCAAATGTAAGCACAAAATCAGAACAAGACAGAAGAATATGTTATTGGAATCAGCAGCATATTAGTAGTTCAAAAACACAGACATCAAAGGTGGTAAGGGGCACACGTCTGATAGTCAAATTGCACGGAGAACGATAATGATATTCATGGTTAAATTCTATGATACAAGAAGAACTAATGTTCGCTTGATATATTAACCTTAAATCAAATTTCCTTTGAAACCTTATTTTAGAATTTTTTGTTGGTAAACTTTAATTCACAAAAAAACTAATTTAGTATAAAATAATACTTGTTACTCCACTTTGCTACTGCACTGTCTACTAACAACAAGAAGCTTGCAAAAACTGCAAAAACTACATGCAACTGTAAAAGTTGTCTATACAGGCTAAATTACTGGTAAAGACCAAAGTTCCTATATGCAGGAACATAATCAGTGGAAGGTGTACAACTTCCATCTCATTGAACACCGGCGCTTTGACAAACTAGCATAGAAAATTATGTGCAAAATGTTACTCCCCTCAGATAATAGGAGTGAATTTCAAACTAGAGACTAAATACAACTTCAGCTGCACTTACAAACAGCAAATAAGAGCCTGCTAAGTATCATTCTTGACGATAATTAAACAGTAAAAGAATGTTTTCTCAAAAGAAAAAGCAAAATTGCCACATCATCCTTTTCTTTTCCAAATCACCAATCTAGTCTGTTAAATCTCGCGTATCCTTTTGTACTTCCCTAAATCATGTTCTTTTTGGCCAACCAGTAGCCCAATCTATTAGTTCAACCACCATCCAATAATCACATTTCCCACTGGACCAGACTGCCTTAATCTTGAAACGCATATAACTGCCAAAAATGAACGATTAATCCTGAGTACAAAAATCATCACTCTGTGGTACTCCTTGGCCATAACATGACTATAGCCCTTGTTCCTTATAGTCATTTTACTAAGGTACATTTCATGCATCACAGTAAAAAAGTTTTTAACAACTAAAACTTAAGCAGAAAACAGAAAGTTTTAAGATGGACATGGAGAAGTACCGGAAGGTTAGTACTAACAGCAACCATATGCTTTGCAATCGCCTGGGGCCTGCAATTGAAAGATGAAGAGTGCACATAAACAAAAAAATTAAAAAAGTAAGGCAAACTATGAGTTAAAAAGGGTTATTTGCATATAAACCCCTTAAATCATGCCTATTTGCAAAAATACCCTGAACATCTTAGTATTCGCAAAACTACCACTCAAATCATCAAATTTGTGAAAAAGCACCCCTTAAATCAACAAAATCATCAACTTGGTGCTAAAATTTTGATTATTTTGTTGATATTTTTACATTTCAATTGCAAATTAGCTTAGCAAAGTTGATCATTAATTGCTTTGAGAGATAATTTTTTCCAAAATTGATAATTTAAGGGGTAGTTTAGCAAATATTGAGATTTGGAGGGTATTTCTGCAAATACCCATGATTTAAAGGGTATATCTGCAAATAACCCTAAAAATTGCACGAATGGGTATCCTAACCCAAGAGCTGCTGAAATCCACTCCCTCAGTGTTCGAGCATTCAACATAGTTTCAGCTGTAGTAAATGTCTTTGAAACCACCACAACTTCATTATCAACAAGGAAAAAAAGATGTAATGTCAGGAAAAAGAAAAGAGAAGGAAACCAGAAGAAAAAAAAGAAAACGATAAACATCATGATGAGTTGAACAGAACAATTACCCAATGTAGTTTCAGGGTTCAATCCTCTAATGTTACGAGCGACATCAATTGGATCAACATTTGCAAGGCTGTAGAGTAAAACTTCCAGTAAGATATAATGTACAAGATGCCACTTATTTTAGTACTCGGCAAAAGAAATCCAACTTCTGGAGTAAAGTGGCGACATAGCAAAGCATAGTATTTCAGAGAAAAAAAACAAGGGGAAAATTGAAAAAAGTATGGAACCCGAGTGCAATCAATCGCAGTTCGCAGGCATTAAACTTGCATATAAAAGAGTGACCAAATTAGTTAGAGAAGTCTATTATTCTGCACCACCAAACCACCAAAGAATAAGCACTTGGAACCAAGCCTCAAAGAGCTCAAAAAAGGAAATGAACCTAAAGCTAAATGATACACAAATCACATGCTCCAAATGATGCTCAACATGGATCATCTGAGCAATGCCACAAAACCAACATCATTAAGCAAACTCAAAAACTGCATCCTAGCTGGGAAAGACACTATGAATGTAGAAATACACAATTCAAGTGGAACAGTATATGGTTTACAATTTGACAGAGATGGTGCTATGCTTGCAGTAAATGCAGTTGTATAAGGTGCAAGGAAAGAGGAGGTTAGCACATGTACGAACTGTAACAAGCAAGTTTTATTTGAAAAACAAGGAACCATGGCATGAACATAAAGTCCTAATTTGACTTAATTGATAATTCTGTTCAGGTCCACACAGGATGAGAATTAGAGGAAAGGGGTAAAATGTGGGTAAGGGGAGGAGTAGACTGTGGGTAAGGCGATGAAAATGAGATTTATGTGCATTTATTCATTTGGAGATTTAGTTTGATAGGAATTAAGAAACGCATTAAGCAAAGAATTAACCCGCTTCAAAATTTTAGGTTCGAAAAAATTAAGACATAACTAAAATTCAGAATTGCAAGAATCTGGTACGAACATGAACCAGACAAGAACAGCTGCAACTACAGCAACAAACTAAGACATGGAGCAAGAGTAAGAATGTGATCCTTTACATGCCAAACATGAAGTTTAGCCAAAGGAATTTCCTGTCTTCTAATAACATTTTGTTTGACTGCAAACTGATTTGAATAACTTTAGAACAGAACCTCATACCAATGCAAGAAACAACTATGCTAACCATGTTGTGGATGAATCTCATTTTCAAGGAGCAGAACAAGATTTTTTTCCACCTCCTTATTAACACAAAAATGTAAACTTGGTTGCCTACATCAACTTTCACCTCTGAAGAATGCAAAGACATAAATTTTGGACAACTTAAGGTGCAACAAAAACATAAGTAAAAAACATGTATACTTACAATCTCAGCTGCCGCCCCTTTGCATATTCTGCAGCTTCTGGATCTGTGAAATTTCAAAGCCAAACCATCAATCCCCAATTCCCAGTAAATTTTACTTTCAAAGTTTAAACAGCCTGTAGAAATTATTACAATTTTCAACTGTAAACATAAGGTATACTGGTCTTACCAGTTTGAAGTGCAGTATGCACAAACAAAGGGCCTAAAAAACTGCCACCGATACCAACGGCCACAACATCTTTTAATGCTTTTCCTGTTGCTCCAACCTGACATGATAGCCTGTTAGTACTAAGAATGACATACCATTGAGTGGAAGCATCATATACTGGGACAATTTTCTTACCCAAGAACCACTTCGAACTTTTTCTGAAAAATCATTGATTTTGTCTAAAACATTCCAAACATCTGGTACCACATTCTTCCCATCACTGCATATAGTTGTATCTCTTGCCGCTCGCAAAGCTACATGCAGCACAGACCTATTCTCTGTGCTGTTTATCTGGCAATTGTAGACATGTCCATGCATCATACAACATATAAAAGTCAGGCCCGGAATCCTAAGTTCTTAATACTAGCGATCATCCAGAAAAAGGGGATGAAATACAATCAACAAATTATTAGCTAATTTCTGAATTCATATGAAGCACACTTCGAACACATGAACTTGTGTGCTAAAAAAAGTGTCATGGCATTATCAATAACTTCTCTAAATCTAGGCACATATAAACATAGTGCACCCTAAAATGCATTCAACACTCAAATAGCATGTTCTCTGTATGAATTCAGAAATTTTACTTACGCGCTCTCCATTGAACATGCGGTTAATCTTCTCATCAATTCGTGCTGCCTGCAATTATTCATCTAAAGGAAGTAAGAACAGTATCTTAAATTGAAGGATAAACCAAAGAAAGCTCAAGCTCACCTCTGCTAGTTTAAAAAGCTTTTGCATAGTGTCTTTCCGAGCACATTGGCGTGTATAGTCCAAAATCAACCCATCAAACTCCCTACAAAAGCAATTCAGCAGAACGAATAAAAGATGGATAATAGAAATATTTTCAATGAACTAAAAATTTTCAAGATGTCCTACACCATCATCGACTTGCATCGATCAACGTCATTCATCAAATTACGTAAATGAGTCTTCTTGATGTCCTCAACGTGACTCTGCAAGCATTTAAGAACAGTAAGGGGGAAATTTGCATATAAGAAGGTACTAATGCAAATTCATGAACTAATTAAGATTAAATTGATACCTTCAAATCCTTCCACGGCTCTGTATCACAAATTAACGCAGTTGAGGCCATTATATCTGCGATAATCAAATAAACAAGTTAATCTCCTTTGAATAATTTGAGTAAACAATTATTTCAATATGAAATGCAGAAACAGAATTATAAGTTGACTGACATGACGCCAGTAATCATATGCAGAATTCCATAAAAAAATCGTCTGCAGAATATTAGGTTTAGAAACCCTAGAATTAAAAAAAAATCATCAAACGTAGAAACAAAAGAAATTGATTATTCTACGATCGCCACGAAATATAAACTAATAGTCCATCATACAATTCACAGAAACTAAAAAACAGTTTTTGATGAAGAATTCATGAAAAAGATCGGAGCTCCCAAACTTAAAATAACGAAAGGAGTATTAAAAACATGAATCTGCTACCAGAAATCCAGAGCCGAGTGGAGAATTTTTGAGATTTTTGTTGATCGATTCAACGTGAAAAGAGCGAATCATTGAGAGAGAAAAATCACAATAAAAAATGAATATGCGAATCTGAGGAGAATTAGAGAGAAAAGAATTTACCTTTTGAGGTTTTGGGACTGCGCGAGAGGAATAGGCGAGCGCTGAGGATCGCCCGTTCGCTGATTCTGGCTTTGGTTTTGGCTTGGGCTTCGACTGGGGATTAAAGTATTATATAGTGTTTGGCTTCGATTTCTGAATGAACGGAGAATAGAGAGGCGAGGGAAATGACCAATTTGCCCTAGTCACATGCTTGACATCTTTTTTTCGGATGCCACGACTTCATGCCGACTCTCGAGAAGGGAGGAACATTGAGAAGTCGCGATCCGTTCTCTCTAACTTCTTTGTTTATCACTGTTCCATCATTTTTTCCATTTGTGGGGAAGAGGTATTATATGTAGTTTACCTCGTCAAGTATCAGAGCATCTCCAATCAAAAACCCAAAATGGTGTAGTTTTTACACCAAGTTGTTGTAGTTTTTACACCAAATCACTATTCCATCTCCAACCATTACACCAAAAAGAATATTCATTTTATTTACAAACTATAAAATGGGATATAGTTGGAATATTTGATTTGTTATAACAAATATAAGGGCAAACTTGGGAAAAACCAAAATCTCCATATCTACAGTGCTGCGCCAAATCTGGCGCAACACTGTAGCACCTCATCAAAATGGTGCTGAATTTGCAGTCCGGTTGGAGGAAGATTTGGCGCAGTTTTTGCTCCATTTTGGGTTTTTGGAGTTGGGTTGGAGATGCTCTCAAAGAGTAAATCTAATATAATCTAATACTATTATAAAAATGGGTTGTCATCTCAAAAAATTTCTATCCAAAATATTCTCTAATATATCCATCCATAAATATATGAAATCCTCATGTACTCAATTCTTATAGCCTCACTATTGACTACACATCCATCCATTCATTTATACACTAGTTTGCGGTCCGTCGGTTTTTTTTTTTTTTTTTTTTTTACAGTAATCCCGTTTTTTTAATATGGTATGTTTGAATTTTTGAAAGTGCTACAGTATCCCGCTCTGCTACAGTACCTTTTACATGCTACAGTATACCCGTGTGCTACAGTTTTATTTTTAATTAATTATTAGCCACAGTAATAATACTACAGTAAATGCTACTGTAGCATTTACTGTAGCATTTACTGTAGCATGAACAGTAAATCTCTGATCCTCCTATTTGTATAAAGGAATAGATACACGATGACACATGTATATACTAGTCTTTCATACCCTTCAATTAGTATAGCCAAATAAAACCATCCCCCAAATAATATAAATTAGTTATAGCCAAGACCCAAGGTCAGATGCCTTGATAGAGCATCTTACTAATAATTTACCCACCGTGAAGGACAAGTTGATTAGTTGATTGATTTTATTAATCCGACCAACTATATGAGAAAATAAAAAAACGACTTCTTAATTTAGTTAATAACTTGCATTAGGTGGTTTACATAATAATATTTTCATCATAATGCAATAAATTCGTAGATGAGAAGGATAATGATCTTAAATTCTTAATATAATTTTAAGAAAAAATGGTTTTTTTAATCAAAAAAGTTGTGATATCTTTCATATTTCTTGCATTTGTGAGCATTAAATTGAGTTTTTTGTGAATTTTTATATTATGGTAAATTATTACTTTTTGTGAGCTAATCAAAAATAGAAGTAATTAAATTCTAAATGTAAGGGTTTTTTTCTATACATACCTCTCAAATTATACATATTTCTAATTCGCCCCTCAAGTAATAATAATACTTTTAAATTTGCTCTCTAAATTATCAATTATGAATAAATTACTCCATATAGTTACTTATATTCCATTTTGCATGTGTTTCAATTCAACAAACTATCAACCAGAGATGACTTCTCATGGAGGTTCGAACTATGTTCTTAATATCTAAAATGTTTTGTTCAATTTTAAAATGTAATTATGGATAATTTTTTAACACAAAATAGCAGATGCAGAGACCTCTAGAAAGCGTAAACAAAACAATTACTTCAAAGGTTACTATACCAATCTCACTCAAGAAGAGCGAGCTTCTTATATAAATAAATCCATTGAGAATAGGCGTGAATCTAGTGTCAGTGCCTCGAATAACCATCAAAGTCCCACTAAATGACGAATCAAGTGGTTACTTCATGTTGTGTAATCACAATACCAATTTCAAGGTATATTCGACACACTAAAATTGTATAAAAACTCATGGTCTACATAATTAAATACTTATTGCATTATTTATTTTATAGGAAACAAATTCTATAATCCTTCATACTCAGAGTTACATCAGATGAAAGTAGTCCTGCACTGAATTTATTATGGAGCAAAGAAATTTGAACATGAGATGTCGACATTTTGTTACGATAATGGTCAAATCAAACTGAATTCAACACATGTACATCCAACTCTGTACTCATTGTTCACATCCACCAATCCAGAAGCAAAAGAATTCCGTAAAAACATTCAAAATACAATAGTTTATTCTCATTCACCTCGTTTGGAGCTACTATTGATAAAAGATTGGTATCATCGACAAATGGCGTTTATACATTTCGAGCACAGGGCAAATTTACCACCATTTACCGAGCTTGATACCAAGCACGGATAAACCCGTACGTCTTTTTCCAATTGTACTTTTATGATTCCAACAATGAGCTTCACAATAGGATAAGAATATTGCAAAATAACACAATGAATGATGATGTTATGAAAATGGTGATGGAAATTTTGGAAGATAATCCATATACTACATTCCTTTGTTCATTGAGAGATTTTGAATCATTCAAAGATATTCGTGCTTGTATTGCTACAAATACTGACCTTGATCAACGGGTCTATAATAACACCAACATCCGACCAAGCTGCTGCCATATGGACTGAAGGGAACAATTCGAATATTCCATTTGAAAGGGAGATTATGATTCATGAACACTCTAGTCAAAGACATTATGTGAAGCACTATTATGGTTGCTATGATCCATTGCAATACTCGCTTCTGTTTCCTAAAGGTGAATCCAGATGGCATCAAAATATCATGAAAATTAATGGCCCAATCTCCAAACAGAATAACACTTCAAGTCAATTGAAATTCTCATCAGAACAAGAACTATTACAACAAGAGCAAATAGGTAAAACTCCAATAAATATACTTATTATAGCATTTATGGTCAACAATGTTTCTTCATATATTAAATATTAATAATTTTTTCCTGTATAGTGTCACTATGCCAACACAATCTCATGTTTTATGCAGAGAGTATTATTGCTACAAGTTATAAATAAGAGAATCAGAACCATATGTGTTGTTGCTTGCTGGAAGATTGTTGCAACAATTTGTGGTAGACATGTATATCAAATTTGAAACAACTAGACTTGATTAATTTTGAAACAAACAATCTAAAATAGCAGGTGAAGTTTATCAAGGAATAGTGGATAGTGTTAATGCCGGTGAAACTCGAGGTGATCAAGTTGGGCAGAGGGTTATCATACCAGCATCTTTCGTTGGAGGACCAAGAGACATGTGGCGTCGGTATATGGATGCAATAACTTTGGTTCCAAGGTTTGGTAAGCCAGATATTTTTATTACGATGACTTGCAATCCAAACTGGGAAGAAATAAAAGATGAACTTCTAATGGGACAAGTTGCTCAAGATAGGCCTTGATTTGACATCACGTGTATTTCGTTCAAAACTTGAAGACCTAAAAGATCAACTCTTCTAAAAGGAAGTTTTTGGAAGACTTAGAGCGCGCGTATATGTGATTAAATTTCAAAAAAGAGGGCTCACACATGCTCATATATTGGTTATCTTGAAAGAGGATTACAAAATCCTAACTCCTGACCAGTTCGATAAATATATTTTAGCAGAAATACCGAATGTATCTACTCATCCAAAACTTCACAAAATGGTTGTAAAATATATGATGCATGGTCCCTGTGGGAAACACCGCATGCACAGCCCTTGAATGGTTAATAAAAAATGTAGACATCATTATCCACGACCTTTTTCCTCTAAGACAATAGTTGGTAAAGATTCATATCCAATATACATGAGGAGGAATAGTGGTAGAAAACTATGTGTGTGTCAAGCAGAGTTGAACAACCAATGGGTTGAACCTTATAATCCGTATCTCCTTACTAGGTACAATCTTCATAGTAATTTTAAAGTTTATTCTAATATATACTATGTGAAAAAACTTTAAATATTATATTGTCATATATATCTTCTTACCAGGTACAATTGTCACATTAACGTTGAGGTTTGCTCCAGTATAAAAGCGATTAAATATTTATATAAATACATATACAAAGGGCATGACAAAATCTCAATCTACTTTGCACATAGTGAAGAGCAAAATAAGTTTGATGAGATAAAACATTTCAAGATGGACGATATGTTTTAGTGCAAGAAGTATTTTAGAGAATTTATGAATTCAAGATGAATGAAACTACTCCTCCAGTCATTAGTCTTCAGTTGCAAGATTCTAGATAACAATCAATTTCTTATTAGCAACGTCAAGATCTTCGTGATGTAATAGATTCAGAAAGATCATCAAAACTATGCTCACTGAATTCTTCACAATGTGCACAATAACCAAAAACGCAAGGCAATTTCTATATGTCGAATTTACTGAACACTACGTGTAGAATAACTAAGCAAAGATTTGGTCTTATCGGAAGCACAAATTTGTCATTGGTCATATAAATGTTGCAAACCCAAAAGATTTATCTACATTTATTGTTAAATCATGTGAGGGGTCCTACTTCTTGGGAATATCAATCTTTTAACAGTTGATGGTGTTGCATATATTTACAAGGAAGCTGCACAATAAATAGGATTACTAGAATCTGACAATAGTATTTCTAATTGTTTAATTGAGGCAACGGCTTTTCAAATGCCTTATGTACTACGAAGATTATTTGCTATTATTTTGGTTTATTGTCAACCATCAAATGTAAGAAAACTATGGAACGATAATTTTGAAGCGATGGCAAAAGATTTTAAAGGAGGAGTAGATGAATACATGTTGCTAGCTCATGTTGCATGGACATTAAAGAGCATTAGTCTTTTCCTTGAGAGTATGGGTAAACGTATTACAGATTATGATCTACTATTACTAATACATGATGACGCTAACCAATCTCAGACTTTACTAAGAGAAATTCTTGATGAAAGGGAGATAGACATTCCGTTAGAAGA